AGCCCCGGGCCGCAGGTCTCTGCGGGCCCCCGGCCCGGGCGGGTTTTATAGCCTCCCCCCCGCCGCCCCTGGGTCTAGCTGCCCTTCCCACCCCGCCCCCTCCACGGGGCAGTGTCCGCAGCGTGCCCTGGCCTGACTCAGAGGCGTCCCACACCTCCATTGTCATCAAATCACCAAAATACACATCGTTAGCGGTGTCCCGGGAAGCAGCCGCGATGTCTCTGGCCGAGGCCTTGATTCCGCCCGGCTGATAGAAGAAGGCGGCTGGCGGGGGCCGGAGGGGGTGGCCTGGCAGGGCTGCACCTTCCCGGCCGCCAATCGGGCCCCGGTTCCCTTCGGGGAGCAAGGCCCAGCTGCTCTGCACCAAGGAGACCTTCTGCTTCTTCCTGCAAAGCCGTCGGAAAGGCATCGACTTGATTGCTAAATATGGGCAGGGGTGGCTTAGACCTGCCTTTATTTAGTTAGAACAAAAACAAACCAAATATAATGCCTGCTTATCATATAATTCCCCAGGTGTTCTGTCCTTTCTTAAGATCTCTGTCCATTAGAATCAAATTCAACCTTGAGCCAATCAACAGGAATTTTCTGCTCCTGTTTTTTTTTTTGTTTTTTTTTTACATCTCTGTCCATTAGAACTAAATTCAATCTTGAGCCCATCCATGGGAGTTTCACCACTGACTTGATCTGCTAGGGGAAGTGACAGCAGCTCTACCAAGCATATTAACATTAAAATCATACTATAGAAAGCAAAAGGATCGACTTCAAGCTAGGACCCAGACACTTCCCAACAAGAACGTTCACATTGGCTTCCATGCCAGTTTTACCTGGTAAATAGGCCCAGGGAGACTGAGCCCACACGTTATATAACTTCACCCATTTAAGGTTAAAGGCTGCTCATGATCCTATTCATTACATTAAAGTGGGAAGTAAGGGGTTGGAAACAAGGCTGAAAGAGGTCAGCTAGTCCAACTCCCTGCATGAGGCAGGATCATCCCTGTTTAAATCATAAATCAGTTTAAATCATTCCACTCTTCCCAGTTATATCAAGAGTGCTAAACTGGGCCTAACATAGTAACACAGAAGAGGCTGGGATGATTATTTAAACTGTCTGACCAATATTAGAACTAACAAGTAGCACCCCTCTGAAATTCCCAAAAGGCAAAACCTTAGGAAATTATGACTACAGCAATAAATGGATTTATTTATGTAATAATTTGCCAAATTAAGCCAATTCAGGCTATCTATCCCAAGAGGTGTTCAAGAGTAACAACTACATTACTGTATGTGCCTTTCATCCCAAAGCAGCTCAAATTATTCTGCAACAACTGGGGCCCACTCCCCTGAGCCTAAAATCAGAATTGAGATGCTTACACTTATATTGAGAAACCATGTTGCTCACTGCTGATGTGAAGCACTAGAGTGCAGCACACTTAAAAGAGTTTAGCAATATGCAGTACCATTTCACTAATCTGGAAGTGAGTTTCCCTACCCATCTGAACTGCAAGTGCAATAATGCGGACCAATAGTCCTAGCCTTCACTTGCCAATGGATAACAACAGGGAGCAAACAGATGAGAATCCTACTTTGCTTTCCTTGTCCATTTCAGATTTCGCTTTCTGATTTCCAGTGACCACAGGCACCCTCAGAAGCTCTTACAGGTAATACATTTCCCAACAATGTGAGTTGTGAACCACACAAGTTTAAAAGACCTTTGTGGGTTGAGTGTAACAATCAAACCTAGGTTAAGGGAATGAACTACTCCACTAAGTTTACTTTCAAACCCACACCCCTGATTTGTGAAATCCCTGCATTTCTTTTCCATTCAAATGCTCAGTTAAAGTATGTTGTAGGCAGGCATCACAATGGGTAGGGACAGAGGGCAGAAGAAAGAGAAAGCCATTGTTAATGGATGGTGGATTATTCACTGTTCAATGTATGATTGCTTGTGTTCTCTTGGACTATGTGGGACTCCTTGGCTTTAGTTCTCCTTTACTGGCGTTAGGTATGCTCATGAATAAAGGCTGATGAAGGCACAAACATAATGAGCACATGCACAAACCTTCGGCTCTCATAGACAGATGCCAGATTATAAACTAAAGGCAAGGGTTTGTTTGTGATATCTTTTATTGGACCAACTGCATACAGCTCACATACTACCAATAAAAGGTATCACAAATAATCTGTGCCTCTCTTCTGTTTCTTGTGCTATCACAGTGACAGCCCCAGAATATAAACTGTTATTTTATGTTCTTAGTCCTCATAGATGGAGAGAAAAAAATGTAAATTTGACCCAAACTGGTGCATTTGATCTGCAGCCCCCCCACCCCAGTGCAGACAGAAGCATCAGTCAGTGGAGCCAGGGTTGGGAAGAAACCCCACCCTACAGCAAATGCCAGAGCAGAGCAGAACTCTGCTGCAGAAAGCAGGAGCGGGGCAAGTAACTTGCTCAGGCAAAGGCAAGACAGGAATCATCTTGTCCGAGTCTTTGCTCTCTTTCAGTGACTAGCCATAGGGCAACTAAATCAGGCCTTTGTTAACACCACAGAGCTGAACATGTCAATTCACACTTCCCAGAGTTATTGTTTGAGGCACTTAGTTAGGTAGCCTCTTTACACCCTACACCCTTCCATTTTTCCAAGGTTCTTTGTAATGCTAATAGATAGAGACTTAGATTTTGTTTTTTGAAAAAAGTGTGATTCCAGGAAGCAAAGAGTACCCACCCCCTCCCCCAGGAAAGAAGAAAGAAACAAGCTCAGCCCTGATTCCAGCTCTTTAGGTCTTGTTGAAGTCTATGAACTTTGTCACTGACTTCAGGGAAGCTAGACTTTGGGAACAGATTCTCTCCTCCCCAAAGGTCCCTTTTAACTAACCAGGTGGTATAAAGGGGGTTCAAAGGAATAAGGGGGGTGGGGGTGGCAGGGAAGAAACTGCCAAGAAGTACCCCAAGAACACTTGCAGATTCTCTCCTTCCCAAAGATCCTGGAAGTTTCTGCCACGAGGCTTGTGAAAAGGGAAGTACACCAAGAACACCCAAGCACCAGTTAAAGAGCATGTTGAAGGGCAGCTGGCACAAGATGAAGACAGGGAAAAGCAGTCTAGAGAAGTCCACTGGCAGCTGGTAGGAAAAAGCCTCTGGAGCTGCAATAATTCATGATCAGGACATATCAGCCCCAAGCAGGCCATGTTCTGGGCAGTTCAAAGGAGGGCTGAGTTGTGTAGCTGAGTATGGGTAGCCTTTAGTCTCTGGACTGCGTGCAGCAAAGCATAGCTAGTATATGAAGGTAGGCATGCTGCCATCTAGTTAATATTTCCCAAGTCCATCTGCTGGTAAAATTAAGAAGAATCCTACCCTAAATTATTACAAACATTTCAGAATGGTATTGTGCTGCTAATTTTTAATCAAAACTTGCATCCAGACAGGAGCTTTGAGTCAATGTTACAAACTGTTCCTGAAACATTTACACCTCATAAAAAGGAGGCTTATGCCTGCTTATCTACAACACCTCTTTATTTATCTTTTGGGGGAAAATTTTGCAGCCTATTATTTACTACTCAACACCATTAAGTCTGCTCTTAAAAAACCCAATACATCTTCAGAGTGCAGTAAGAGTGCCGACTCCACTGAAATAGAAACAGGAAAGACACAGAAGCCGAAAAAAGATTTCATATTCAAATGCATGGTAATGTTACGGAGTGTAATAATTTGTGATGAGCATGCTGCATTCTAAATAAGTTCGTATACTGCACTCCTCACCCTCCTATCTCTAGTGCCTTTCTGTAGTGCATTTAGCAGTGTTACCAAAATCTATCAAATGAAGTTTGTTCTGCTTTCCTCTTCCCCATGGAGAAGTGTGAGCAGTAAAATGTCTTCTATACTTTTCCCAGAGCCTGATGAAGGGACTTTGATCCCAAAAATCTTGCAGAAAAGGACAATTTTCTTGCGATTTCCCAGTTGGTCTAATAAAAGATCATTTTGGAACCAAGAGTTCTAATTTTTTTATGTTTTCCTTTGTAGGGTGCATTTTTTAAATATATGTGGTGCTATATATTCACATTAGAGAAGGAGCTCAGAAAAAAGTGTGCTGTGCAGATGGAGCAGAAAGTAAGGTTTGTGACTGCTCTTAGTTTTAATGGTCTTGATTCCATCCTTCAGAGAAAGAGAGGCCTCCTGTATGAATGAACTTAAACCCCTGCAATAGTATTTTCTATTATGCTAGAAGAGCAGTCTGTTCCTGCTTGGCATCTGCAGGATCCAAAAATGTCTGGATCAGTTTTAAATGTTCAAAAAAAAGAATTAATTGTTGGCTTAACTCTGCTCCCCTTTAAGTTCACTATGAAAATAATTAAGGCAATGTATGCTCCTGGCGAGAGGGGGGTAAAGAAACACACCTTTAACTTATACATGTATTTAACTCTCAAAAGTAAAATAAAATAAAATAAAATGACTTACCCACTTGGCTAATCAGAAGTCCCTGAAACCTGGCTCTGATCAATAATTTAAAATTTGCCATCTAAAAAGTGTTGCTGGAAAAACTTTTGAATTCATTTGTTTTTGTCACTATCCCCAGCCCTGATCCCTATACTGTGTAGTACCCTGGCTGCAGAGTCATGTGATACTGTCCAAATACAACTTTCACCAGTTTCAAAGAAAAGCTTGAAAAACATGATTTGACTGGAATTGAGTGATGCCTGCACACAGGCTGGAACAATAGCTCCAAGACAAGTGGGCTGCACCATTCATAATTGAGTCACCAAGTTTGAAAAAAAACAAAAAAAAACAGTTTTGAGGATTGACTTTCATACCATAACAGTAGAGCAGTTGTAGCTGTTGGACTAGGGTGGTAGCAGGGGCAGAAGGCCCTTTTCTCCTGCCAAGTTGTCAGCTTTGGTTGGAAACACTATCCTCCCTTCTATGGGACATATGCCAGATCAGATAAGGCCCCAGAATAATGGTCCAGAGCAGCATTTCCCAAGCTTTTGGGGTTTATGCCCCACTGCAGTGAAGCCAACCATTCTTGTGCTTCCCTACTTCAGCTGCCAAATTCTGTTCAATGCTTTTGTGCATAATACCTTTCTCTTTGTTGTGACCTTACATCCCCCAGGAACCTTTAGTATCTCCCTACCTCCCCTCCACCCTGAAAAAAAGGCACGTCCCACTGTTTAGGAAACCTTGGTCTTGAGTTTGGAGACAGCCTTGTCAGAGGAGCAACAATAACTCCTCATCAGTCCAGTAGATGGCTCAGGCAGAGAGCACAGCAGTGTGGGATGGGATGGGGCAGGCCCAGGATTGCCTATACCAGCCTCGTCTTCACGCAAGGACTTGTTCCTCAAAGTATAAAAGTTGTCCTCTCTTGGATACTAACTGTGTTCCTCCTTCTCAGAAACAATTTGTCCATAAAACTTCCCAAC